GGTAGTTTTTGTCTCCGCGGCCAGCAACGAGTGCCAGGCGGAGCTGACGCTGTCCAGGATGCAGAAGGTCCGCGAAGCAGACCAGCAGAGAGCGGATACTGACGAAGGCGGTGCGCAGGCTGGACCCCAATTGAAAGCCGGAGTGGATTATGTGATCAAGGAGGGATGGGGGAGTTCTTCGCGTGTACCATTCCCGGATGTTCCGAAGTTGGGAACTCTGAGGCACACGTGGGTGCTGGTGCGGAACGAACGCCCGAGGAACCCCAGTTTTCATGGAGCGCCGCAGCCGAAGCACGGAGCGGGGCAGGAGGATAGGAACGGGCTCTTGTTGATGGTATATTTTCGGGCGTTCACGCTGCGTGACGACGTCGAATGCGGAGTGCCGCGCCTGCGGGACTTCCGCGGAGCGCAGGGGTCGTGGGCGGAGGCGTCATTGGAGTGGTTAAAGAAAGGCATGCCATGTGAAGAAACAAAGAGGTACGTGCAGAACAACATGGGCGCGGTGGATCTGCGACCAGTCACGGACGAAGACCTGGTCAAACACGAGGACGAGCTGTGCAGCGATGAAGAACTGGATCCGAGAATTGTCGACGCGGCGACAAGGCGGAAGACGCATGTGGGAGGTGCGTCCATGGAGAAAGAGGACAGGCGGACAAATGTAGATGCGGAGTGCGAAAAGGAGAGGAGCCGGGAGGCCATGGCCAGGGGCGACGCCGTGCGGGGCGTGAGCACTGGTCGGGTGAACGGAAAGCGCAAGAAGCGCGGAGGGGGCGGTGTGTTGAGGTGGGATGACGCGGAGGTGCAGAAAGCGCAAGCGGTGGCCGCGGCGTCGAGGGCCGCAGAAGGCAGCGGCGCGGGTGGGGAGGAAGGTCGGGTTGAACGCGGGACAGCGTAGCGTCGTTGAGAAGGTGGCAGATCGCGCGTTGGCGCAAGAATTCGGGAGGTCCGCGAGCGGCAAGAAAACAGGCCAGAGCGGTTCTGATATGCAGCCCTTCGTGTGGATGTTGCATGGTGGCCCGGGGACTGGGAAGAGTTTCGTCATAGACAAGGTCCGGAAGGAGCTGTCCGAAAAGAGCCGGGGTGGACGCGCGGCGTAGATTTCCAGGCGGCAGCGCTGCAGGCTACAAACGCGTCAGCTCTCGACGGGAATACGATTCACAGTGCATTTGGGCTCGGCGTGAACAAAACGAAAGAGAAGAACGCGGCGGGCGATGCCAACGCAGAGACAAAGAAGAAAACGAAGAAAGAGCAAACAGCGTAGCGCATGTCGCAGTGGAAGTGGTTGATTGTGGACGAGGTGAGCATGGTCAGCGCGAACTTCATTGCAGAGCTAGACTCACACTTGCGGTCGTGCATGTCAGCTGCAAGCGACGCGAAGGTAGGTGGAGACGGCGTCGCCAGGCCCTTCGGGGGCGTGAATGTGCTGTTCTGCGGGGATTTCTATCAATTGGAGCCGCCATCTGGGACAGCCATTAATGCGCCCCCCACGTCGTATTTGAAAAAAGCAAAAAAATACGCGCCGGGTGCCGCAGAGGACCACGGACAGTATATCTTTTGGGGAGCGGGTGGCGATGGTGCAGTGCAGGGAATGACGGAGTTGACGGAGTGCAAGCGCGTGGAAGACCAGGACGACTGGTTTCTTGGAGTGCAGGGCGAGTTTCGCCGAGGAAAGTTGTCTGAACGCACGCGCAATTTTTTGCATGGCAGACCGACGGACAGGACATTCGTTGCCGCGTCGGGAAGCAGAGAGCTGTGCAGTGGGCCAAAGAGCGAGGAGAACAGTTGCTCTGGGTCGCAGCCAGGGACCGTCCTTGCCATGGGGGGAACAGAGGCGGCCGTACACGGTGGAGAATAAGGTACGTTGTTTGGGGTACCACGAGAAGGAGTGTGCAAGCCTGCCCGGGTGGTTGCCACTGGCCAAAGGGATGCCCGTGGCTTTGGGAGATCACTTGGGTCGATCAAAGAAGAAGCTCCTGCGGGGGCGCGCAGCGACGATCCATGGATGGGCGTTGCACGAGGACGAGGTCACTGGGGATGAAGACGAGGAAGTGTTGTTGCATCTACCGAGAGTGATAGTGCTGAACTTCCATGCGAAGGAGTGGCATCTGCCGGAGTGGGGGCCAGGGCTGTATCCGATCTTCCCATCGAAAGGGCGGCAATGGTTCTTGGACGGGCATCGGAAACATCCAGTGTTGAGTGTGAAGCGCACGCAGTTTATGATAACCCCGTCTTTGACAGTGACGGCGCACTCTGCGCAGGGCCGGACCATGGCCGCAGTGATAGCTGACCTTGAAAGAGGGCGCGGCGTGAGTTGGATGTCCAGTTACGTTGCCATCACGCGCGTGCGCAGGCGACAGGACCTCCTGATTTTCCGGCCTTTTGACAGGAGACCGCACAGCGCAGGTGAGATGGAGGGCGCGAAAAAACTGCTGCAGGTGCTACGAGGGGAGAGCTTCGATTGGGATGAATGGGAGGCGGAACTAATGCCACGAGACCAGTGCGAGCGCTGCCGGCGGAGGTTGTTGGTGGAGGCGTTCACGAAGTACGAGTTCCAGAGGAAGGACAGACCGGCGTTCTGCAAAGAGTGCACGGAGGAGATGAAAAACGCAGGTGCAAAATGGTGCACAACGCGCAGAGGGTGGGCAATGAGAGCAGAGGGCGACGACGCGGCACGGCAAGGTAGCGGTCGGAACGCGGACGCGGCGCCCGAAAACGGGGAGACGAAAAGGATTAGGACAATGTACTGCGCAAAGAGCAGGGATGTCAAGGCGAAACAGAACTCGCGCACTGGCAGCGCGAAGTGGAACGAGAGTGTTGGAACAGTGCGGTGTTCGAACGATAAGTGCCTGTCGCTGTATGACGACAAGGCGGAGATGTCGGAATCTCAGAAGAAGCAGAACGCAGCCGGCCAGAGGTTGTGTCGGAAATGTGCGGGAGAACGTCAGAGGGCGACGCTTGCGTCGAATAATAAACAACGCGTGGTCACATTGCGGTGTTCGAACGGCGACTGCCTGTCGGAGTTCCAAGAGGGGGCGGGGATGTCCGAAGCTCAGAAGAAGCACAGTGCTGCGGGCGGAAGACTCTGTCGGAAATGCGCGGAAGAACGAGAGAAAGAGGTGCGACGGGGGAATGCGGAGGCAGCGAATCGCAAACGGAAAGCCGAAGCGGACGCGAAGGCACTGACGTGCGCGGCGTGCGGAGGAGCGTTCTCAGACACGAAACACTTGAAGCCGACGCAAGTGGAACATCATAGAAAGGCGAAAGGAACCAAAGTGGTGTGCAGAGGCTGCGAGGAACTCGGGTTCAACGTGCGCAGTTACCAAGGGTATCAGTGCACCGGCGCATGCAAGAGGAGACTACCGAAGTCGGCGTCCCCCGACCCGCACAATGTCCCGCGCGACGCAAAGAAGGGCACTCTGAAGTGCAAGACATGCACATGATGCCCAATCGGGCGCACGTGCTGGGGAGAAAAAGGAGGACGGGGAGAGAAGGATGGGGGGTGAGGCGGAGAATGGGGGGGAGAAGCATCGAAGAGGATGAGGTGAACTGGGGCAGGAAGAGGAGGAGGGGGTCGACGAGGAGGTGGCGGAGGAGGAAGAGGAGGGGGGGGGCACTGAGATCAGGCTCTGGGTTATGGGATGTGGGGTATAGAGGCTTGTGGTATGTGCATGGGGAAGGAGGAGGCAAGGGAGGAAGAGGAGGGGGACACGGAGACAAAGTGCTGGGTCATGGGTTACGAGTAAGAGGCTTCAAGTATGTGTATAGGGATCTCGCGGCACGCCTCTCGGGGGCTCGAGGGGTGCAGTTTTGAAACCACTGGGGGGCCGTTTCGGGGCCTCTGGGGGACTTCCACGAAGGCGCTGCAGCGCGTCGGGCAGCGCGCGAATGCTGTGGACAGTGGGGAGGAACAAAGCAGGAGACGGAGACGACGGGGGAGGAGAAGGAGGAGGAGGAGGAGGAAAAGAAGGGGTAGGAGGAAGAGGAGGACGAGGACAAGTGAGGATCTTGTCGTGGATCCTGAGAGGGATATTTCTCGAATGGCCCGAGGCGCGTCCCGCGAATCCCGCTGCCGTGCCGGGGTTGTGAGTCTGAGGCCAGTGGAATATGATTTGGGATCTCGTGGTCGGCCTCTCGGAGACCTCAAGTGGCACCGACCAAGTACCACGCGAGGTACGTCGTCCGTGTGCCTCAAATGGTACCGCCCACACTTTGGAGGCCCTTTGGGAGCTATTTTGGGCCTCTTGGGTGCCTCTTTTGGGCCTCTTGGGGCCTGTTTGGGGTCTCTTGGGGGCTTCTTGGGGGCCTTTCGGGGGGCCTCTTGGGGTTTCCTGGGGCCGCCTGGGGGCCGAAGCCTCGAAATGAGATTTGTTTCCCCCTCTTGGCCCCCTCTTGGGCCCGTCTTGGGGCCCTCTTGGGGCGTCTTCGGCGCCTCTAGGGCCGTCTTGGGGCCATCTTGGGCTGTTTTGGGGCCATCTTGGGGGCCTCTTGAACCGCTTCGGGACGGCATTCAGGGCCTCGGGGGCCGTGTTGGAGCGTCGGAAAGCCGAAAAGGCGAAAAGGCAAAAAACACAGTAAAACATAATGGAACATCACAAGTTTTAGCATCTCGGGGCCCTCTTGGGGGGCTTATGTGGGACCTCCGGGGCCGGCTTGGAGGCCTCGGGGCCCGACTTGAGGCCATCTTGGGCGTTTTCAAGCGCCCAATTGGCGTCTCGGGGACCTCGTGGCCCGTCTTGGAGGCAACTTGGGGCCTTCTGGGCCCGTCTTGGGGCCCTCCTGGGCCCGAAAAAGCTCCGTGAGTCGCTCGTGCCGGGCCCGGGGGGGGGGCCATCAGGGGGGGTCGAATCGCCGGCTTGGGGGCCCCAGGGGGGGACTAGAGGGGGGGGAACTATTTCACACGCCTAGAGACCCACAAGGGGTCGGCGGATACCTTATCGTAATTACGTGCGTGCTGTGTGGAAGGGGCGAGGGAGCCTCGCAAAACAAAAGACGGCCGAAAGGGGGTCTGGCGTCGAGGCGGCGGCCGACCTGGCGGCGACGGAGGTCCTGTACAACTGGGCCAGGCACGCCTCCGGACGCGGAGGCCGACGGCAGTAGCGCGGGCATCCTTCCGGGCCTTTTTCCCCATCCTTCGGGTTGACCCAAACGGGGGTCCAGCGACAAGGGGGTGGTGCAGCAGAGTTGGTGCAACAGATTTGTGGGGTTGCAGTACGTCTGGGGCGTGCGATGCACTCCGGGGCGCACATGTGTATTGCTGGATGTTCGTGTGCAGGGCACTACTTGCCATGCAATGCAATCTACTTTTCTGGCGCAATGCGTTTGCAATACAGTTGCCCGAAATCTACTGCACCACCCCCTCTCAGCCGGACCCCCTTTTGGGGTTTGGAGGAACCCCTGACCTGCAACGCGTCGGACAAGATAGTGCCGCTCCTCAGCTCTCTCCCAGGGCTCCGGGGGCCCTCGCCAAGCCCTGCGGCCGTCAGCAGACCACGCGGGATGGAGCGCCTGCCCTGGGGAAGGGGTCGGGACTCCAGGGAGCCCCGTGTCAAGAGGCAGGGTATCGGGCGTGTGGGTCCCGTCTGTCGCCTCGCCTCGCTCCCCGTGGGCCGCGGGAGGACAAAAGCGCCGATGCCGCTGCTTTTCCTGGAGGGCCCTCGTGGCTACGGCCGGGCTCTTCTCGGAGTTCTGCTCAGAGCGCACGCCGGGACAGGTCCAGCGAGTAGCGGTCTGGATATCTTCTCGCCACCAAGTTAAAAAGTGGAGTTGAGGATGAGCAGTTGGAGCAGAGGATTCCTTGCATCTCGTCGTTCGTCGTTCTGCGAGTCGTCTTCGTGCTTCGGCCCCCTCCGTACACTGGTGCTCTAGTCTCCCGGCGCGATTGGGTGCCTGCGCACCAACGTTTGCCATCCCCATGAACGGCTTGGACTTTCACGCCGATCGCCCCACCTCGTCGCACACCCCCCCTCTCCTTCGCCTCGGCCTCCTGCCCCTCTCCCCCGCGCGATAAGACAGCGGAAGGACGGGCAAGTCAGCACGACCAGCACGAGCATGGGCAGGTCGGTGTCGCAGCACTTCTCGCCACCGGATCTCGCAGTCGTCGACGCCGCGTGCGGAGGGCGGGCTCGGTGTGTGCGGTCAACCGTACCGGACTGCGGGGACCAGTGGCAACCAGTCTCCACGCAGCGCCGTGCGTATGACCCGGCCTCGCCCGAGAGCGTGTGCGTTCTCTTCCTCGGCGAGGGCCATCGAGGAGCACCCTGGATCATTTGGCGGAGAAACCACGCACGAGACCGAAGGAAGCACAGGGAAGGGACGTCCGGGCGATGGCCAGCAGCGGGTTTCCACACATCGCCGTGCGTATGAAGGGGTGCTCCTTTTGTGCCCGGCAAGCCCCCGCACTGCCCCCTGGTTGCCTCGACCGCGGCCCGAGACCAAGTCGCTGCGGTCACAAAAGTGCATGGCGGGGGCCAAGCAGCTGACCGGGGGCTGACACCCTCTGGTGTTCAGAGCTGTCTTTCTCCAGCTGGTTGCTGCCGCTGCCTGCGCTGTGCTGGTCCGCATCTGCGTGCCCGTGCGTGCACCACGGCAGAGCATAGCAAAGCACGTGGAACGACGCAACAGCGCTTCGAGAAATGCACGCTCTCCCTGAAAAGGGATGGCACGTGGGGGCCGCATTCCATGCTTGGCAGCGACCAGGGACATTACGGTTTAGTACGCGGTGTATTGTGGTATCATGTGTTCAGGTCCCCCAGCCAAATTGGCAAGCGTTTCACACCCACTCTTCGCACCCAGTTTCCGTACATTCGTTTTTGTCCTCATTACCTACGTAAGCCTTTTCTCGTGCAGGATCTCTTCCTGTTCGACGACTCGTTGTGTGCAGGACGTCTGGTGAATGGGATATCGGCATGGGAATCATGTGTTAGTGGATGTACGCTTGCGATGACCGCTCCACTCCCAGTTGTTTGTTAAGGAGCTCGGCAGAAGTATGAGTTGCAAACCGTGTGGTGCAATCGACGTGGTGCAGGCTACGAAACGTAAGCAGTGTAGTTCAGCATATGTGGTGCACGCCGATGTGCATTATACCGAGTGCTCGCTAGGCATTGCAACCATTGTGGCGCAAATTATGTGTTGCAATCCACCGCGGATGGCATGCGAACGTCCACGGTGCCCACCAGGTGAGTTTTCGGGCGCAGGCCCGGACAGCTTTGGCATCCACGGCCGCCCACCAGGCGAAACTCCAGCGCAGCCACCAAATTGTTCTTCACTGGGCAAGATAGTCTAGGCGAAGCAGTGTTTGGGGAATATCGTCCTACGTTCTGCACTGATTTGCTTGCCTCCACATCGCCAGTGGCGGTTCTAAGATATCGCCTTCGGTCATATCACCACCCACCATACCACCACTCAATCCCAACCAGTTGGCCCCAGTTTGCCTTCCATTCCCAGGGGGGGGGTCGGGGAACATTGAAAAACACATTTGAAGCCAGTACCCCCCCCAACTCGAAATTCGAGTAAGTTGTTAAATATCTTGGGCCATACGGCATTTTGGTCCTCACCTGCTGCCTCACGCCCTGAGAAAATGCTCAGCCGGATAAGAACAACTATAAGGATTCGCCTCGTTCCTCCCAGGAAGGAGGGATTCAAGGGAGGAGGGCGGAGGGGAGCAAGACGTAGGTTTTTTTTTTTTGGGGGGGGGGGGCACCTTCGGCCAGACCAGTTTTACTAAGCGGCTGACCAAGCAGCCACTCTGAACCTAACACCAGGCGAGGGACCAGCAGGCGACCACGGTCCCATCTCCCAACGAGGGAGGATGTCCCTTGGCCACGCGCCAGTCCCCCAGGCGTTAGTCTGACCCCGACTCCGAGCCATCAGGGCGGTTCGGAATCAGAGGAGCCTCATCCTCCTCGCTTCGCAGCAAGTCGGACACATTCCTCATCACAGCACGGGGGTCAGACGCAGCGGAGGTGGCTTGCACGGGAACCTCTGGCGTTGCAACAGGCACCCTGACCTCAAACAATTCACGGGCGGTTGCTTCCTCCGCCTCGAACAGAGCATCAAAAACTTCATCTCCAGGAGCAGGTCTTTGCACACCTAGAGATTCAGGTTGCCCTTCCCGCCCCCCGCTCCCAAGGTCCACCCGCACCCCCGTTTCTCTCTCGGCAATCCTAGCCCTCAGAGGGGCCAAACAATCCAAGTGAGACGTGCTCGGAGGGATGAGGTGCACCCGCGAAGCGGTCGCAAAAGCACGCACTGCCGCTCCTGACCCAGGTCGTTCAGGAGCCGCACACGAAACTGCAACATTACGCTGAGGATGAAGGCCACGCTTGAGCCTGCTCAGCACACTGGCACCTGCGCTGTGTTCCTTGGGATCACATTTCCCTGCCAGATTACGAACTTTCTCTTGAGAGTAGCTACCGCAGAGCATACAGAACACTAGGGGCAGCTTCTCGTCACCGGCTTGCGTACTAGCTAACTTGTGGCCGTGGTCGGGGGCCTCGGAGAGCAACCTGGTGAGGCTCCTCGAGAGTCCCTTACATCCAACCTCTGGCCTATCTTGGAGGTTACCCCCATAAAAACTTAAACATTTGGCACACCTGTGGCCCCACAACCAGGGCTCCCAGTCATGCCAGCTCGTGGCGTACGCAATGACCTTACGCTGGCGCTCACGTCGCGGAGGGCGCTGGTGGTGCACCCTCGGAAAACACGGCAACACATTCGCCACGAGGCGAGCCACCGTTTCGAGACTCTCGATCGAGCTATCCAGCTGCTGCCAGTCGGCTGGCGAGGGTCTGGGATGCAGGTCAAGAGCTCCTTTAGCCTCTCGATCCGCTCGCCAGTTAGCCTGACCAATCCACCGCTCTGGTGGGGGCAGCTGCTCGATGTCTTCTAACTTCCTATGGGCAGGGGTGTGAACAGCTGGGGCATACTCTTGATCCCTCATGTGGAGCAGGGCCCCCCTTCTCAACCCTCCATAACGTTGCTTGGCCGAAACTTGACATGACGGTTCCATGTTGTGTAGTTTGACGGCATTCATACAATCGCTGTATAACGTCGGCCCATGATTTGGTACATATATTGGTAGCAAGGCGAGCTGGAGTTGTTCTGCTGCTTGACTGGTTTGGGGTAAACTCGGCCACACAACTCCTTTTGCTACATACCGCTGCACACCCTCAGCATCAAAGAACACCCACGAGTAAGCCGCTCTCGAAAGTTCTCGGATTGTGTGGCGAGCGCAAGACCCGTCGCCAGCCTGGAAGAAGGAGGACCCATCAAACTGATCCCACTCCACTTTTTGCCCACTCATATCAAAGAGCTCTGGCTCGTGCACATCCGAGAGGTTCGGCCACTCGGCCGCTGGGTGCTGAAACTTGAGGGCCTCGAAAAACTGCGCGTCCCCGTTCTGGGCGCGCTTGAGAAAGGCCGTGGAGACATCGGCGGCCTGCCGTGCCGCGACGACCTCCGCGTGCTGGCAGGCGAAGATCCTGTGACCTACCGAGTCGGGCGCCTGACATAAGGGGCAGAGGCCTGGTGTGATGTACCCCGACCGTAAAGCCCTGTCTTCGGTCCAGAGCCCTTCACAAAAACACGCCATCACTAAATATTTACCCTGGGCGTTGAGCCCAATACCTTTAACCCCAGCCTTGGTGATGCGTCGGATTGGTTCCACACACACTCTGGTCCCAGGGGTCCACCCAAGTTTCTTGCCCAAAACTCGCTCGTGGTGCCTCTGGGCCCCCAGGCTAAGCCAGTGCCCGACCATGGAGGGGGTGGAGTACAGCAGGGATATCTCCACGCCGTTATCATCGCGCCAGTCGAGGGGGGTGTAGGCTTCCCACCCGATACGCTGAAGGGAGAGGTGCATTCTACTGATCGGGCCTTTGCTTTTTGCCCAATTGTAGCCGGTGGGCGGGACGGTCCGCCACATGCTGCACAGCTCCTGAATCGAGAAAAAGGCGTGCTCGGGACGCGTGGTAGCCGCCCACACAGCATGTGACCACGCCAGAGCAGGGGCAATCATGCTCCTCCACATGGGGTCGCCTAGGAGCACCGTCTTGGCTCTCAAGGAAACCCCAGCATGTCTCGGCG